ATAAAATGCAACAAGCACTTTGCCTGATTTAATTATTTAATTATTTATTGTAGCATGTTGATGAAAAACCATTCAGTTTTTGTTTGGTTTTGTTTTTTCATGTTTTCTTTTCCTCCTTCCCTTCATCTATTTTTAATTTCATTCAATTTCATTTTTTTGAAAAAGTGAAATGAACGATGAGAAGGTAACATGGAAAAAAGAGTCAGATGACATTTGATTGCAGAATTTATTACTTTTTTTTTATTTATTCAAGGTTCTCATCTGTTATTTAGTTAATTTAATAACCCATTTTTGCTTGCTAATTATGAATAAATAATCTTGCATATCTATGATCCAAATTATCACCTATCTTCCTATGTAAATTTATTGAAATATTTTAAGATAATGTCCTTTCATCACATACATTTATTTGTTATTTTTGAGATCGTCAAGTTTTTTTCTGCTATTAAAAGTTGATTTGATCAGTTAACATCGAATTAATCCAATCACTTTATAATGAGACATTCTATTAAATTAATAATAAGATTACCAAAAAATAAATAAACATTTATCAAAAATAATTCTTGAATGTAATACAACCTGAACAATATTTATTTCAGCAAAAATGCAGTAATTTGTATGCGAGATGGTAAATTGTGCCTACTTTTTCGGGTTGGTGACATGAGGAAAAGCTCATTGGCTGAAGCTCATGTTCGTTTACAGGTCAGTTTCAATGTTGAAATTTTAACTATTTGAAAAAAAAAAATTCTACTGCAACAGTTTTGAAAAGGTTTTTTTTTTGTAAGAGATATTTGCGAGTATATGAAGAAGAGTTTTTTGTCTTCCTTTTTTTTTCTTGCTTATCTTAATTTACAAGATAGTTTATGTACATGATGTATACATTAAATGAAATTAACTAACTTTATTGTTTGTAGTTTGTGTAAATGTTGCAAAAGTTTGATAAAAAATTCAAAAATGAATGTGACTGCTCAAAAATTCTGTCTACCCATTAAATTATATGTTGAAAATTTGATATTTTTAGTTAAATGGTCAATAATTTCAATTTTTTAAACAGAATAACTATTTCAGATGATCAAGAAGTGTATAACATATGAAGGAGAACTGCTACCTTTCCATCAATTTGACATGGATGTTGGCTATGATACAGGCCTGGATCGTGTATTTGTCATTTGGCCAATAACAGTTTGCCATGAGATTGATGAAAATAGTCCGTTGTATGAGGTTAGCAAAGAAAGCTTACGTACAGCTCGATTTGAAATTATTGCTATCCTCGAAGGTGTTGTCGAATCGGTTGGTTCAACAACGCAAGCACGAACATCTTATTTACCCAATGAAATTTTATGGGGTAAACGGTAAGTTAAATGGGTTTTCATGCAAATAAAATGTTGATTAATTTCTATCGGTTCGAAGAAAAAAGAAAAAAAAAAGAAGGAAAATACTAAATTGATTAATTTGTTTTACTATTTTGTCGGTTCGCTTTTGTTTGTTAATTTAACTAACCTTATTTGCTTATCAAATTTGCTGATTTTTGCTCCTTTCAAAATAAGGATTAAAGGAAGTTGAGGAATCATATGCTTAAAAACATATGATGATATTAATTAATACTAATTTATTTTTTGTGAATTATTGCAAGTATGCAAATATCATCATATCAAATAAGCATAATATTTGATCTTTCCGAATGATTGTAGTGCCACTACAAAAAGTTCCAAATCGCTATTCTCCCATGAGAATAGCATACCAAAAAATAAATGGAAAAGACGGTTTATACATCCTTCTTGTTCCTTAACGCATACTGTGACACGCAGTTCCATACAGTTAGTCCACAAACAAACAAGCAGATCAAACACGCAAACCAAACAGGTCCCACCTTTAACCAACCAGGCAGACTCCACGGTCACCGCACCATCATTACCCTTTGATCCCATAATGACCTGATGATGATCCCCATTGTAAGCAGTTTAGTGTTCTGCTCACTGTATCAGGCAATCAAACGATTGTATTTGCAATTCATATAACGTGAATGGATTTGAAAAAGATACACAAACAAATGAAATCTTTGATATTTTCTAAAAATTTATTTAAATAATTGAAATTTCATATTCAGAAAGTTAATGACATTAAACTTGTCGTTACCATAAAAATGACGTCTATTTCTTTGCGTATTTTATAATATATCAAAGTTTAATTAAAATAAAGGGAGATGAAAATTTTTGTTCTAAAATCATCAAAATTTTCATCAATATGAATTATATTTGTTGAAATTATAAAATGAAGAGATTTAATTGATTTATTTTTTTTAAATTTTTGTGACAAATTTTTTTAAGTAATATATTTTCATACTTGTTCCTTATCATCACTGTTCTATTTCTTGCAAACATTTAAATTTCATTATACAAATTGCAATATGAAAAAGTAAAAATTTGAAAAGTTTCGAACAAAAATTTAGAATTGCAAAAACCAATTTCTAAAAAATGTTCACTTTTATAGTTTTGAGAAACTTGTAACATATCAACGTGATAATGGCGAATATAGGATTGATTTTGAAAAATTTCATAATGTTTACGATGTTGACACTCCACCATGTTCAGCAAAAGAGCTTGACAAGATGCGGGTAAGTAATATTTTTATTAATTGTTAAAATTAAATGATAGAGACTGAAAAATTTCACCGGATAAGCTACCTGAAATAAAGATATCATTAACAAGGATCAAGGATGGTGTATTAGGCGAAACGGACAATGGTAGGCAACCGGAAATAACCATTTTTATTGCTTTAATTAAAAACTATGCTAAAATGTAGGAAGTAATTTAGCGATGAAATCTTTCAAAAATTTTAGTTTGAAAATATATTTTTACACCAGTGTAATTCAGGATCTCGGTTTGAAACCAGAAAATGCTTATCAAATAGCACCTGATTTGAATGATAATTCGGCTGGAAGTTCACCTATTATTGCAATCCATCCAAAAGGTTCCAGTCCACGATTATCAGTTTTATTGAGTAAAGGAGATAACAGTACCTTACCTCATCCGGGTAAAGTTGAAACGGATGATGAAGACAATGACCAAACAATTCATGTAAGTTTTGCAAAATTTTCTTTTTAAAAAAAAACTCTTCTCAGTTGTTTAAAATAATTACATCTCATTATTATTTAACAAACTTTATCCAAGGTAATCTTTTTTCACCACCTACCTGACATCTATTAACTTATCTGTCTTATTACTTAAATTATTGCTTTGGATATTGTGAAAATATTTCGCTAATTAATTTATATATATATATATATATATATATATATATATATATATATATATATATATATAT